AGAAAGGAATAGAATATGATGGCAAGGGATCCAAAAAGCTAAGTGTCTTTTGTTTCTTTTGCAAGGAAAGATTCACCCTGAGCTAGCATCTGTTGACAATCTTCCTCCTTTTTTTTTCCCCCAATGCCCCAGTACATGTTTGTACATCCTAGTTGTTTAAGTCATTCTAGTTCTTCTATGTGAGCCACAGCCACAGTATGACGGCTGACAGATGAGTGGGTGGTTCTATGACCAAAAAGTGAATCTGGGCCACTGAAGTGGTGAGCATTCAACTTTAACCATCAGGCCATCAGGGCTGGCTCTAACGGTCTTGAATACATACCCTGTATGAGGCCTGTGCCTCTGTCATTCACCTTCAGATACTCATTTACTGTTAGCGTCCCCAAAAAGCAAAGGCAAATCTCTATTAAATGTCTCTACTCCTCCTTCTGGGAAGTCTTGTCTTCCCTGTTCTGAGTTCAACTATTTGTCACAAGCCCATTTCTTTTTTACAAATACTTCCCTGATGAAGCAATTATTTACCCTCATGCTGCACTTCATTTTCTGGTCCGTGCATCGTCTCCTCCATCAGTTTGTGGGTGTTCACTGTGCTAGACACCTGCAGGTAAGGAAAGGATGTGCAGGGCCACACACCAAAGCATTGCCCCTCAAAGGGCAGGGAGCCCGGAGCGCCATCGGACCCAGCCCAGAGCTCTCTGAAACTGCTGGCCACTCCCCTCCTAGTCCTCTCCACCTTGACAGCTCAAGCTGTTCCTCTCCGGACCCAGGCAGGGGGGAAATCAGAGCACCTGACACCCAACCACTATACTTGGCAGTGCGGGCACAAAGGCCTCAATCTTCCTGCTCTCCTGGCCAGCAAAGCCCCAGCACTCTGTGCAGGCTGACCCCACAGATCTGGAGTAAAGGCAGGACCTGGAGCAAACTCCCCATGATCAGCCTCATGACTAGGCAGCTGTGCAGGGGCTCCTCTGGGTCCCTGGAGTTGCCACCTCTGCTGATACCATGAGGCCTGGCACGCAGTACCAGGAGAGAGAACCACACACTGGTTTCTCAATGAGAGTCCTGCCACTCACTGTGAGTGACCCTGAGCTTCTCCAAGCTTCAGTGTCATCATCCCAAAAATGGGGACAATACCAGCTCCCTCACTGAGCTGTCATGGGACTAATTCATGAGTATAGGTGAGGCCCTGAACATAGCGTCTGGTGGAGCCAGCACTCAGAACTTTGTGAAATGCATTGCACCATGAACAATGAAGAGACTTAACTCCACTTTGCCCAGACCATAAGCTCTTCATCTCAGTACTCAGCACGGAAGCAGACCCTCGGTAAACATTCCTGCAATAAATGAACCCAAAGCAAGAGAGATAAAGGAGCTACAGTTTGTTTTATTATAGGCGAGTGCCCAACATGATCTGTGACCTCATTAACTCTTATGAAAAGGAAGCAGTTTTTTCCAGCCTACAAAGAAACTGAGGCACAGCAAAATTAAGAAAGTTCCATAGCTACCTAGGGATTGAGTCAGGATTTGAACTCAGGACTGCTGGTTCCAAAGCTGAGGCCCTTTCCATTGACCTCACAGTCGGTTGCCAAGACAGAGAGAGAAGGAATCCTCCAGGTCCCATCAAAGCAGCAGGGTACCAAGGGGCCTCAGGCCCAGGCTCCAGGGGGCTCGGAGGGTTTCTGGGAGACCTGGCAGGGCTCATCTCTATGCAGGTGTCACTCCTGCCTAGTCATTCAGAGGCTAGAAATGCAGCCAAGAATGCTGTAATGACAGGCTGCTGAGCTCCGGCAAAGGCTTCTGGCATACCAGCAACCTGGATTCGGCACATGCCAAGCCTTTTAGGAGAGGCAGCATTGAATGGGCTGGACAGAGGATGTAGCCTGACTCTGAGGCCACTGCTCCCAGGGGTGTGGCAGACACTGTTCTGTCTGGAAGCTGCTTCCCTAGGGAGGGGCTTTGGGCACCACCAGGGGTCCTGGGAGCTTTTGGGTCCCTCCAAAGACTTTTTCCCATCCTCATCCCCTGATCCAGCTGTTCCCTCTCCCCACTTTCCCTCAAGCTTCCTCCAGCACACTCCTGCTACCTGCCAGAAGAAGCAGAGAAGGAAAAGTCATCATTTTGGCAGTTTGGTACTAATACCCAGAAAGATGTTTTTTAACACCCAGGCAGGAGACCAGTGGCTACGATCACACATTTGCTCCCTCACTCCCCACCACTCATCCCTACAATTGAGCCTGCTGTGTTGATAACCTTTTCGGCTCAACTTCCTGCATCCACATGTGTATCCAATGCCAAGAGGAACTCTTGCAGGCCAAGAAGAGGAAATTTCTCGGCTCTTCTGAGACGTGGGTGGCAAGGAAATGTAGGGCCCCTGGCAGTCTCCCAACCCTTACACTCTGCATTGTTTGGGCCTCTCCAACCAGGACCTGTTCTGGGGCCGCCTATGCTCAGAACAGCAGCAGCCCACGGCCATCTGAAGAAGTGGGGAGAGGAGGCGGCACGGGGCAGTATCCCACGGAGAGACCGGGACACACACACATTCTCCCACCAGGGGGTGGCCTCCACAAGCAACGGCAGGATGACCTCTGTAGCTCCAGCATACAACACAGTTCTGGCACATTGTGGCCAGCCAAATGTAGTTTTTTGAGCATTTTGTGCCAGGCACTGCCGTAAGCCCTGTACACAAATTAACCTATTTAATCTCAGATGCATTTTATGTATTTTTGTTAGTAAATATACTTAAGTACCCATGTTATCCCCGTTCTACAGAGGAGAAAACTGAGTCAGGGAGAAATTAATTGCTCCAAGGCCCACAGACACTACACCCTCAGACATAAATCAAACTCAGTCTGGCTCCAATATTCTCAGTGTGCTGAAGAAATATTTCCTTATACTTTGAAAGAATAACCAAGACTTCAAAAATTCCCAAGAGGGTGATGGCTACTTTTCTTCAGCTTCCTTTAACCAACACAAAACAAAATAATCTCTCAAGGACATCGAGGTGGGAGGCAGGTGTGTGGGACGGGAGATGGGGGAAGCAAATGGCCCGGGTTTTACATTGATGAATGGCTTCAGTTTAGACTTTTGGGGAGATGCACTAATAGATTTTTTAAAAGACATTTATTCTATCAGTTTAAACTAGGGCCCTAACTGATGTTAGCTCAGGGCCAGCCTTCCTCAGCAAAAAGAGGAGGATTGGTGGCAGATGTTAGCTCAGGGCTAAGCTTCCTCAAAAAAAATAAATAAACTAGGGCCCTATTACCAAACGACACCCTCCTGGTACACTTTCAATTTGTATTTATATTTCAAAATAAATCCTGTAATTAACCTGCCACTATACCGATTATTTTGCATTGCATTAGAGGGTCAAAAGGGTTAATTTATAAACATCTTAAATATGGTCGCCATCTTTTGGCAGCCCTCTTTTTCACTCTTGCTTTTTTTAATTCACTAGGATGAATTAATTTACCAAGATGTCCTAACAACTCCCTGCTGATATTGCCCTTATCCCCAGGGTGGAAGTGGGGGTGTGGGGTGAGGAAGGCAAGGTGGGAGGCGGCTGAGAATAGTATTAAAAGTTTTATTCGAAATCACTGATCCCAAGAAGCTATTTTCTTCATTAAATTGAATTCAGGCTATTTTTATGTCAGCTTTGCGTCTAAGAGCAACAACCCAGACGTCTGTCCTCCCACTTCTGGGGACTTGTTTCAATGAGATGGGTGAGTGGTTTGGAGTAGATTTTGGAGGGAGCAATCTGTTGAACATCCCAGCCTTTTAAAAGCATGCCTTTCTTGCCACCAAAGTTATAAAAAGAGAGAAGAGATCATTATCAGCTGGTGGGCTGGCTCTGACCAAGAGATTTAAACACTCAACAATCTGAAACAATTGTCAATCCTATAAGGCACGACTTGTTGTTTTTCAAGAACACCCAACACAGAACAGGTTAAAGAACTGCTGGCACAGTAGGGGGAACAAAAGGAAAGAAAGAGAAACAGGGCGGAGCGAGCAGAGCTAACAGAAATCTCTTGGTGAACCTGAACAGGGAGAGGAGATTCTAAGTGGTGAAATCCACAAGCTGCCTCCGTGAAATCAACAGGTTTGAGAAAGTTGCTTCTTCCTTAGAAAAAATGGAGAGATTCTAACTCTTCTCATCTCAATGCCAGCGACCCGTGGTAGGCATCGACCCGGGGGAATCTTAAAACTGAATTAACTCCATACTATGTCCCTCTTCTTTCTGGCCTGGAAGATGCTGGGTGCCCTCAATCCAACTGCACCTGTGCAAATCTTGTAAGGCGTCTCCCCAGCCGCCCGCCGCCCCCCACTTCCCTCTGACTCTGAAAATACTGAGAAATTGTGGGCTCTATTCTCCCAAGACAAAACTGAAGGACAGGCCCTTTGCTGATAGCCGCTTGCACTGATGGGACCAGCAAACTAGGACTGTTTGCTGCAATAATTCTGCAAACAAGAAGCGGGACACGTGGAAGTCACAGGAGGGGGCATCGCATTGCTGGGCAACCACAAAAACTTAGAATTTTCAGCACAGGAAAGACTCTGAGACGGTTCTGTTCTTGTAAAGAGGGGAAACTGAGGCCCAGGGACTCCCAGGGACCTGCCTTGGGTCACATATCCAGTTAGTGACCAAAAAGAGAGCCCAGTCGTCCTGATTCCTACGTTCCCCTATTTTTCCTCCCCAAACCCAAGAATCCCAAAGCATCTATAATTCTAGAATCCCCAAGTACAGCTGATTAATAACACTGCCAGTAGTTAACAGTGTAGTCATAGGAGTGGTAATAACAGCAATAGCAGTAATATTAAGGGGGGAGGATCTGAAAGTCTGGGAAAGGTTTATTATTTTTTTTCTCTTCTGCAGCCCAAAGCCAGCCAAGTTCCTTGAGGGCAGCCTGGAGGAATTAAGAGAATTAAGTAAATTAAAAGTAAATTAAGGTTCTTTCAAGAGCGGAAAGAGCAGGAAGCGCTCTTGCCCCAGCGGCGGTACTCACCAGCGCTCCCTGCGCAGGTAATGGACCGAACGAGGCACCCAGGTGGAGCGCCGCGGCCCCGCCGTATATATAGCGAAGGTGTTGCGCAAAGAGGCCGGCGGCGGCTGCTGTCATCACGCCCCTCGCACATTCCAGGACCGCCTGCCGCCGCCGCCGCAGCACTGCCTACCTGCCGGCTTAATGAGTCCATCGTGACCTCGCGCCCTGCGCCAAGGAAAGACAGACGGCCTGGCTGCAGGGAGAAAGCTGTCCGGTCCCCGGTCCCCCGTCCCCAGTGCCCGCATGGCCGCGAAGGTCCCGCGCGCCCTGACCCCCGGCTGGAGCGCCCTCCTCCGCCCCAACGCGGGCCGCGGGAGATCCCAGCGAGTGGAGACCAGTGGGGCTCCCCATCCACTGCTTTCTCCTACCCGTGAACCTGAATCTTCTAGTTTAGCTCCTCTGAGGCTGAAGAGGTCAGAAACGTTGAGACACAGATAAAAGGCAATTGGAAAGTCAGGGACAAATCCTTCCAAAACAAAGCTAGGATTGTTCGGCCTTATCAGTCTTTGGGGTGCTTTCTGCCCCGGTAGCTTAGACTCAGCAGTCAGACACTTGACCAGCTGGAGCCTTGGGTCTGCGACGGGAAAGAGCTGGATTAACCAGCCTGAGGAAGGGGAGGGAGCTGCTCTCTCCAGGAGACCCGCTCCCCCCATGCTAGTCCCAGCTTTGGCGAACCATGGTCCTTATTTCACTTTCTGCTGTACCCGGGTATTCCCTGTGTCTCCACACGTCTTTCTCCATCTGGGCTGTGAGAAGACCCGTCCCAGGGAGAGCCCGTCATGGCGCTTACCCTAACAGCCACCCAGTTCCGTGCTGGGCAGATGTTTTCTCCAATGCCCACACAAACACCTTCCCTGGGTAAGAGCAGCTTCCTTTCTAGTTGGGGCTAGGCGTTGGGGGCATGACACAGGATTAGTCAGGATTTGCTGAGTGGGGATCAAACCTGGGTCTTATTCCACAACCCAGGCCCTATCCCTCTGCCGCATGGTCCTGGTTTTGTAGCTGGGGAAAGTGAGAGTTAGCAAGCTTACTAGTTGCCTAGCTGCCCAAAGTAACAGTTGAAGCACCTTGTTGGAACTAAGCTGGTTTCATTCCAAAACCCAAGAGCTTTCTCCACCATCAGGGAGAAGAAGTCGGGAGAGCTGCTTCCAGGACCCATAGAGCCTGGCTCTCCCTGGGGCTGAGAAGTCAGAGGTTAGGCACGCTAACTCTGGGGTCTAGCTGCCTGAGATCAGTTGCCTGTTGCGCCCCCTTACTTTCTCTGCCTGCATTTGCCTGTGTAAAATGCGAATAGTGGTCCCTCTCTATTAGAGTGAAACGAGCTAAAATATTTAGAGCATGAAGAACAGTACCTGGCACATGACGAGAACTCAGTGCCTGTTAGCCACTAGTTTTCACTGGAACCTCTGGTGTTGGGAGAAGATGAGTGGGAAGCTTTGATTAGACTCATCTGGAACTTGGGACTCTGGGGTCGTCATTCCACAGCCTCACACGTTGGTCACATCAGTCTGAGGGCCAGGGCATATTACTTGGAGAGTGGGCATTAGAAATCAAGTCAGCCCAGACTGTTCTTATTAGCTGTAGTGGTTCTGCTGGTGGGTGCTAGACTTCAAAGCCAGCCCTTGGAGAGTGATCAACAAGCACCCTTCCACAGAGTGATTTCTAAAGCGGAATCCACTGGTGACAGGAACCCACTGGCAGGTACTCATGGGGCTCAGCCCCTCCTCCAGCCCTGGGCAAGCAGGCTGCGGATAACACCTCAGGGGGTCAGAGGGGCAGGTCTTAGTTGAACATTCATCCCAACGAGCCTCCCCGCAGTAACTCTGGGCTTTGATATGGGGCACAGATCTAACTGCCTCCACATTGCCTTTATATTACTCTCAACAAGGAGCTAACAGAAGGATCGAAATTTCAAAAAACTTGGAATGAGAAAGCTTTCCCTTTTAGGGTCCAAAGGGCAAAATGCTGGTTCAGACAGAAGACTTTTTTCCAATGTACATGGATCTCATAATAGATCAGAGATGATATCTTTTTGATTCTAGTTTTGGATTGTAGTTTTTGTAGTACTTTTTGCACAGAATGGAGAAAAGGTAGATGGGGTATGTGTGTGTATCACTCTAGAATCTCTCCCTTTAGGGGATCACAACTTGCTGCAGAACATTTTCCTACCTTCATTCCATCTCAGATAGAGAACCCTGTCACCATTTAGTACTTTCAACGTTCAGTCTACGTTTACACACAAACTTCTAAAGTACTTTCACTCGCACATTTCTTTGTGCCTCCTGTTGTTCTCTAAAGTAGCATTGATTAGATTAAACAGCATCATTAATGTGAGACTGAGGCCCACCCAGAGCAGGATCTTGCCCGAGGCTACAAAACTGTGAGCTGATATAGGCCCACATCCCTTACGAAGCTCCTGGGGCCAGATGTGTCTTAGACTTTAGAAATTTCCATTTTTATAAAGTAAGATGCAGACACTCCACTGGGACCTGGACAGCACCCTGTAATCAAACTCACGGAGATTTTTACTGTAAAAATGTATAAACATTGATACTATAAAAATATTGATTTTATATATCAATTTAGGTTAGGATGTGAGCTAAATGAGTTTTTAAATTGCAGATTAGAGATCGTGACTGCTATTTTAATTTTTTACCATGGCCAAATATTTTATTTATAGTTTATTTATAGTGTTATATATATAGGGTAATTTACATTACATGTGTTCCATTTATCTGTTGTTTTATTGTCAACATTTTTAAACATGCCAAAGTGGAAATATTTTGACACTGAATACCTATATGCATACTACTTAGATTCTGTAAAACATTTTTCTATATTTGCTTTATTACATTACTGTCCATCTGTCGATTCTTCTATTAATCCATTATTTTTGCTTTCTTTCAAAATTGTAGGCATCAGTTCATGTCAGCCTTTATAGTTCAGCTTGCAGATTTTCAACCAGAGTTCAATATTTGTTTATGGCTTATTTCATAGGTAAAATTTACATAAATGAAATGCACAAGGTGTAAAAATACCATAGATACATTTTGACAAATACGTAACCTTGTGAAACTCAACCTCCTTATCAAGATAGAGAGGATTACCACCACTCCAGGAAATCCCCTCATGCCTTTTCCCAGGCAATCTAAACTCTCATAGGAGCGAGAACTCTTCTAATTGCTTTCCACCAGAGATTAGCTTTTCTTGTTCTCAGGTTCCATATAAAAGTAATCATATAGTATGTGCTCTCTTGTGAAAGACTTTGTTCACTCAGCCTAATACTGTGTGTATCAGTAGCTATTTTACTGTTTTTTTATTGAGGTATAGTTGACATATAACATTATATTAGTCTCAGGTCTCCAACATAATGATTCAACATTTGTATACTATGAAATGATCACAATAAGTCTAGTTAACATTCGTCCCCATCCATAGTTACAAAATTTTTGTGATAAGGACTTTTAAGATCTTTTTTTGAGTGCTTTCCATGTGCAAGTACTGTTATAAACACTTTCCATAGATTGTCATTAATCCTAAATATAAAGGCCAGGAAATGGGGCCCCAGAGAAGTTGAACAGCACGTCCCAGTGTTAAAGGACTAGTCGGTAGTGGCAGAGTGAAGATCTTAACCCAGTTATCAATTTCACATGCATAATCAGCAGTTTTTCACTGCTTTCTTATCTCCCTTTCCTTATAGGGATATTTAATTGCCCAAAGGACTTGTACGATGAGTGGAATGAAATAGAACAGAGAATCCAGAAACATACAGACACTTGACTTACAACAATGTCACTGCAGAGCAGGAAGGTTAAGATAACCTGCAGTAAATGGATGTCCAAACGGAAACAAAGGAAACTTGACCCTCTACCCAGCACCCTACACACAAAAGAATTTATCTAAATGTGAAAGGCAAAATAATAGGACTTCTAGAAGACAATATAGACAAATTTTCATGAATTCAGGGTAGGGAAGGAGTTCTTAGATAGGACACAAGAGGCATTAGCCATAAAAGACACTTTTAAGAGAGTGAAAAGGCAGACCAGAGTAGAACATAGCACTGACCAAGAGCTTATTCCAGAACATGTAAAGAATGCCTATATATCAAGAAAAAGAACCCAATTGAAAAATGGTCAGGAGACTAGAACAGGCACTTTACAAATGAGGATAGTTAATAAACACATTAAAAGGTGTTCAATGTCACTATTGAGGGAGATGCAAATTAAACCACAATGAGACTTAAACCCAGTGTATATACATCCACTCCCAGGCATATGCCCAAGAGAGATGTGCACCTATGTTCATCAGAGGCCATACACAAAACTGCCCATAGCAGCAAAGCCCGCAAAACAGCTCAGCTGTCCGTTGCCGTTGGTAGAATGGAATATTAACTGTGAAACCCTCATACAATAAGATACTGTTATGAAGTTGCTGTTGTTGTAGTCGAAAGTGCTCAGGTAATATGCATCAATGAAAACAAACAATTTATTTATTGTTACATGGAACTAAATAAACAACTCTTATCTGACAAACATGTTTGATTCATCCTGTTTGACTCCACTTGCATAAAATTCCCAAACCAGCCCTAACTAAATCTTAGTTCAGGAATGCATACTTAAGTGGTAAAACCATGGAGAAAAGAAGCAAGTTCTTACTCTAGAAGTCAGGTAGGGTTCACTTTCTGGGGAGGAGGAGTAAGACTGAGGGAACAAGGATTTCTGAGCTGTTGACAGTGTTCTTCTTGTTGTGTCATTGTTTCATGATCATAAATCCTTGAGTTGTACTAATCCTATGTATTTTTTCTATGAATATCTCACAGTTAACAGGTTGAAAGAAATTAGTGCTGTTGGGGAGGGGTGCAGGGAAGAGGGTGGGCTCTGGGTTACGTCACAGCTTGAATCTTTTTGAAGCCAGAAAGTTTGAACCACTTACTGGATCTGTCACAAAAATGTTTACCACAGCGAGCACTTGGATATGGCTTTCTCTGTCCCAGATGTTTAACCAATAGTTGGTTTGTAAACTGGCCCCCATACACAGAGGGCAAGGAGAGACCAAAGACAGAGGCAGGCCACTCCGGATTGGTAAATGGCAGGTTTAATAAGCGAGGGAACTTAC